TCTCGTTTCTTTTTTTTTTTTTTGGTTAATTATTTTATTTTTTTCAAGTTTTTTCTTTTTTTTTCTTTCTTTTCTTCATTCTCTATATTTTTATTTTATTTATTTTTCTTATCTTATTCTTTTTTTCTTTATTTTTCTTTTTTTTTTTAAATTCATGTATAAAATTTGTTAAAAAAAAGCGTCTTCCATTCTGGAAGTCTCTGCATTCAATTAAAAACAACTTGATTAAATGACCAATAACATGAGATCTAACTATGTTTACAATGCATTTTTATACCTTGCCTAAAAGAGAAAGGATATCATTGGAAGATCCACCCAAGATATAGCAACATTATTCAAGGATTTGAGATTCATAGAGATAAAGAGAGCCTGGAAGGAAAACCTAAGGAAGTGGCAAAAATATATAAAAGATATATCTATAGTGTACAATTATACAAACATTAAAAGATTCAATACCCAGAAAAATTTTTCACTTACTTTTAAATAAATTTAAATAATTTCACTTTTAAATAATGTCGAAATAGCAATTTTTAAGGTTGATATTTTAGATACAACTTAGCTTGTGAAAAAACTAAAAAATACTGATTTTTAAAAGAAATTGAAATGACTGAGGTGATCTATCTTTTCATTATCTGTAGTTGTCATTATCAATTAGAAAAGTAAACGAATTAATATTAAACTAATTTTTATTTTAATAAGGCCACAGATTTCCAAGGGGTGCCAAATAGAAAGAAGGTACCTAAGAAAAGGAGTAACTAAGAAAAGGATATAAGAAAACTGGAAGTGGCAAAAGGATTTGGAAGTAAGGAAGTGGCAAACACTATAAAGAGACCTCAACAAATGCTAATTTTGCAATAGATTTGATAAATCCAAGAAAGATCAGAAGTAAAAATTAATCCAAGAAGATGAAGGATACATGACTCCACAAGTACATAACCATTCATAAATATAGAAAGATCTAAATTATTGTGGTAAAGGTTGGCTAAAAAAATTAGGTTTTATCTGAATTAATGTTCACCAGCGACTGTGAGCTTCATGTTGTACCAGAAATGAGATCCTTTTAAAGCTCAGATGCCCCTTCCAAACAATTAGAGAGTGTTGGTTTTTTTATCAAGACAAGAAAAAATGAAAGATTGTTAATGTAAATTAAAAAGAGTATAGGGGCTAGGATAGAACATAGAGGAACCCCTGAAGTTACAGAATATGAAGAAAAGTGCTGTCCATTGAGGACAACTTTTATACTATGATTGGAAAATGATTCAATAATCTTGAAGATATTACCTGATATACCATAAAAAAAATCTTAATATCTTAAATCTTAAATATCATAAAAAAAACTCTTCACATCTATCTAATGGAGGGTAAAACCTATCAATTATTACTATTAGCAAATCAGCTACACCTGATTTAGCAATCAGAACAAAATTTGAAATCTATATTGATGATCAGATTCAAAATGAGAGATTAAGTGTTGGTTAATTAAAGATTCAAAAAGTTTGCTTATGATAGGAAAAAGGCTAATGGGACGGTAGTTAGACAAGTCAGATCGCTCTCCAGAATTTTTAAAAATAGATGCCGCTTTCCAGCAGGCTGGAAAACAAGACTATGATAGGCACTCGTTAAATAGTTTTGAAAGTATAGACGACAGCTCCATAGAACACTTCTGCAACTCTATAACAGGTATGTTGTCTGGATAACAGGCTGTAGAGGAATGTCAAGCAATGGTTCAATCTGTTTGTCGGCTATATCAGGTAAAACACAACTATTGGAACCAAAAGATGATATTGATGAAAAGTTCTTTGAAAACAATTCAGCTTTGCCTATAGATGAAATAATAAATTCTCTTATTATTATGACTTTTGAGGATTCCCCAGAGTCAACTCAACGTCCTAATTGTAGAGGTGCAAATATGAGGTTTCATGACCTGAGTATAGAACAAAATCTTTTTTAATGGTTTCTAGCAATAGTAAACAGACGTCTGTTTTTTGGAGGATTATTATGCTGATAGATATAGAAATAATGGTTTTCATTGGAAATTGCAGCAGCACAATGTGAAAATTGTTAAGAAGGAATAAAAAATTCCATGCCAGCCTGAATCCAAGAAGTTATGTAAGAAGCACATTTGACAGCAGAAAGACAAATGAATTTTATGCAAAGGCCATCATGAAGAAAATCATGGAAAAGTCAGCTTTAAAGTAGTTGTAAGAAATACAGCGATTCTGATAATGAAGATTAAAGAGATAATAGTTTTAGAGAGATCAAACCGTGATCAGAAGCACCTTAGGGTGAATGTTGAGAAACTGAGCACTGACTAGGATCAGAAACAAGACATAAGTCGAGTAGAGAAGGTAAACGATTTAGATTGTCTGAAACACAATTTGGAAAGTTGACTATTTGAGTTAGAGATTGAGGCAAGGCAAAAGTTGTGGGTCTTAACCCCTGCAGAGTAACTGACACTAGACCAAGCCAATCAGTGTGATGAGAATTAAAGACACCAACAACAATGATATTGGCTGAAGGATAAAGAGAGAGGACTCTGTCAATTCTTGAGATGAAAGAGAGCATTATAGAACAAAGAGAAAGGCAATAAAGTGAAAATGTGCTAAACAAAAGAAAATGTGCTAAACAAAAATGGAAATGCTAAGGCCAAGCATTTACTATTTTTAACTATTGGAATCTTTATGAATTAAATGAAGATAACCAACACTAAGATCACAACATTAAGATCACAAGATGAGACAGCCTAACTCAAATTAGTCTCACAAAGAGCAACTAGGTCAGGTTAAATTTGCATGAGATAAGACTCAACAGAACTTGGTGATGACAATGATTTTTTGTGTTTTATAGTTTTCGATACTTTAACCATTTTTAAACTTGTTAAAGAACTTGACTCAAAGTATAGATAGTACTCAATACACAATTTAATAATCCAAGCAATTGCCTGATTACTATTAATAAACCCTATGCCGTAACAAAAGGCTCCAAATAAGGCCTTGACAATGCACACCACCCATGTGTAACATGGCACTGTTAATCAATCAATCAATCAATCAATCATATATATTCTGAAAATAAATTTTCAAGGCTATTTACAAATAGTATTGAAATACTAATCTCAAGTAAATACCTAAAAAAAATAATTTATGTATATACAATTAATCTTAATAATAATAGCAATAATAGCAATAATAATAATAATAATAATAATAATAATAATAATAATAATAATAATAATAATAATAATAATAACAATAGCAATAAAGTAACTATAATAATTTAAATAATCGGTATTTTCCCTACAGCAATCATTTTTACATGCAAAGTTACAGTTACAAACAGTAATAAACTGACAAAACGTAACAACTAATGATGACATAAAAACGACTACTACTAAAAAAAAAATTAAAGATTTAGTAAATATATTAATATAATCATAGTTGTAAAAATATAATAATCAAAATATATTGCAAATATTATGACCAAATAAATAAATATAATATAAACAGAAAAACACTGAGAAAATCAAAACAAAACAAGTTTACAACAATCATTACGAAACAAAACAAAAAAATATGCAAAATAAACAAAACAAACAACAACAACAAAAAAACTTAAAATTAAAAAAGATAATAACAAAAAACGGTAGAATTAAACATATATAATAAATGGCTAAAAATGAAAATAAAAACAAACAATATATAACTGTATAAAAAATTTATATACCACTAAAAATAAATAATAACTAAAAAACAAACAAATGACTAACAAAAAATAACAAGTAAAACTATATACGCTAAAAAATTGAAGAAAAATAAATAAATAATAAAATAAATAATCCTAAGAAATATATGAAAGAAAGCTAAAAAAATGTATGGAAAATAAATAAAAATCTAGATTTGCCGATCGAGGTTCATCTCTTTAAATTTTTTTTTTTTCATTCTTTGGCATTCTTTGGTTAGTACTCTAATATTGTACAGCTGTTGATGGAATCAGCCTCTACAGAGTTACCATAGAGTTTGGAAAACCTGACTACCAGCAGGCCTCAGAAGCATGAAACTAATTTTTAGAGCTGTACCCTCAATAGGAAATAATAGAATGAGTTGCCTTGTTATACAAACACAAGCAAAACTTATGCATTGAGTCAAGAAGGAAACAAAGGAAAAAATTGTAACCAAAATTGTAAATTGGAAACAATGTATTATAAAAATACATCTGTGCCAGCCTAATAGATAAAAAATTGGTACCAGGCTGGTCAACAGATAGAATTTGTTTACCCTTCAAGTCTTTGCTTAGGAAGCCTTCTACAAGATAGTAGCCGAATGTGTTTAACTGCCCAAGATGAGTATCTTTATCCAGGCATCAACTCTAGCCTTTACTCAACCAAGAGCCTAAAGGCAGGAAGTTTATTAAGTTGGAGTTGGCTTGTCCTAGACTTTGCCTATAAAATTATATCCTACAAGGCAGCAGAACATGAAGCAGGTTGTACTGGGTTGTTACATGTTACCAGTAGCAGAACAACCTGACCTGACCTTAGAGTCAAACCTTAGACTCTCAATAAACTATACTGATCTTCACTAACACTGCATCTATTTAGGACATAAATTCATCCCTGCAAAAATCATCTACAAGTAATGCTATTAGTAACCATTTAGCTGCCAGTAATCATGACAATTTAAACAATTTTAAATAATATTCTACAAAATAGAGTGCTCAATGTTTTTAAAAGCAATATTCATAAAAGCAATTATAAAGTAATAGAAAATCACTTATCAAAAGTTTTTTTTATTTAATACTGTGTTTCATCAATAAAGACTCATATATTATATATATATATATATATATATATATATATATATATATATATATATATATATATATATATATATATATATATATATATATATATATATATATATATATATATATATATATATATATATATATATATATAAAGATATAACATAAAGAATTTTACTTTTTCAATAAATTTAGAATCTTACCATTTTTTATGAGATAAGTAACACATTTGGATCCACAAGAACTTTGACAACATTTAGAAGAATCATTACAATCTCGATCAGATAAACATGATTGCATTTCATTTGAACATAAAGTTTTATAAGGACAAATACCAGATTTTACAACTAAATAATAAAAATACTAATAATAATAATAATAATAATAAAATTTTCAAAAGTAATAATTAATATGCATTAAATATTAGGAAAATAATTTTTATTCACCTTTAAAGTTTTTAACTTTAACAGCTACGAAAGAGAAATTTCAATATGAAATTTGTATTTCATTTAATGTGGGTATTCTTTTTTTTTTTTTTAAACATCTTCGCTTCCAACAAGGCTGCAAGCAACCACTAATTAGTGTTGGAAGTTACTGGAAGAGAAAAGATGAAGATTGTAGAGCAAGATAACGATTGACAGATGACTTAAAAGATTGCCAATTATATGAATCAGGAAAGCAAGATGAAGGAAGCAAATTCCAAAGAACTGATGTTCGAGGAAAAAAACTGGACGAGTAAGAGTTTTTTTTGAGCACTTAGGAACAGTAACAAAAAAAAGAATGAGACTTAATTCGTAAATGTAAATTAAAATGAGTATAGGGCCAAGGATCGTAAATGTAAATTAAAATGAGTATAGGGCCAAGGATTAAACCTTGAGGAACCCTTGAGGCTACAGAATAAGAAGAGTGCTGTCCATCAAGGACAACTTTTATACTACGATTGGAAAGAAAGGATTCAATAATCTTAAAGATGTTTACAGATACACCATAAGAAGAAAACTTATGGCGAAGACCAGCATGCCAAACTTTATCAAACGCTTTAGAAATGTCAAGAGCGATGGTCTTAACCTCTCCACCTTTATCTAATGTGCGATAAAACCTATCAGTTATTACTGATAGCAAATCAGCCCTAGAACGAGAAGATCGAAATCCATATTGATGTTTAGAAAGTAGGTTATAATATTCGAGATGAGAGATTAAGTGTTTGTTAATTATAAATTCAAAAACCTTGCTTATTATAGGAAGAAGACTAATGGGAAGGTAGTTAGACGAATCGGATCGCTCTCCAGAATTTTAATTTATTTTAAAATAGGGATAACAGATGCTGCTTTCCAGCAGGAAAACAAGACTCTGATAAGCACTTGTTAAATAGTTTTGAAAGGATAGACGACAGCTCCGGAGAACCCTTCTGCAAGACTATAACAGATATGTTGTCCAGGCCGCAGGCTGTAGAAGAGTCTAAGCAGGAAATCACTTTAGATACAGAAGCTGGAGTGATATGGATGTCGAGCAATGGATCAACCTGTTTGATGGCTATATCAGGTAGAACGCAACTAGTGGAATCAAGAGATGATATTGATGAAAAGTTCTTGTCAAACAATTCAGCTTTGTCTTTAGGTGAGATGACAAAGTCTGAACCATACAAAAGAGGTGGAATTACAGACTTGCCCTTCTTATTGATACTGTTAAAGATTCTTCAGAAGTCACGAGAGCCTAATTTTTGTGATGAAATACGAGTTTTAATGATCTAAAAATAGCGGGCTTTGGTGTTAGACATAACTTTTTTACAATGGTTCCTAGCAGTAATAAACAGACGTCTGTTTTCTGGAGAATTGTTTTGCTGATAGATATGGAAGTAATGGTTTCTATTGGCAATTCTACTTTTTTAAAGAATCTTTTTAAAAAGTTTTGAAGAATTTCTTTAAAAATTTTCAAAAAGATTCTTTAATAAAGCAGAATTTTTAGAAAATCCCTAAATTAAAACAAATATGGAAATAAATAAATATCACACCGATTCCAAAAAAAGGAAAGAAAAATGATCTAACAAATTATCGACCTATCTCATCATCATCAGTTATAAGTAAAATAATGCAAAAACTCCCAAAATATTTTTCAATAAAAGTTCTTGTTAAAACCCAAAAACTAAACAACACATGCAACCCTCTGAACTATTAATGTGCAATGTATATATTGAAGTTGTTTGTTCTATTATTAACCTATTAAGACCAGTGCTTTTCCTATTATATACAATAATCATCCATTTGTTAAATCTAACAGTGAATTTCTAAAAAAACACCTTATTACAACTTTTCCTTTACTCTCAAAAAATACATAAAAAAAGCAACAACCAATAGCAATACATAACCAATAGCAATTCATAACCAATCGCAAAAATCTTTGATTTCTCAGAGAAACAAGTTTCACATTGACTCCACATTTGATTTCAGTAAATATTGTACCACAAAGTCAGTTACTGTTCCTCTATGAAAAAATATTAGAAATTACTAACCAAAACATCGTTGAGATTCAGGAACCTGTAAAATATTTTTGACTCATGACTTATTTCTGAATAAATTTGAATAAATGGAAATTCACTTGACTGGTTTAGGGAGTATTTATTTAACAGGACTTAAACTGTAGAAATCATCAAAACATCAAACTTCTGATTATATTTATAGTGGTACCTCTCAAAGATCTATTATTATATATATTATTATTTTCTATAATGATCAAATAAGAAATTGCCAAGTCATAAAAAATGCTGATGAAGGGTGTAAGCCTGGACAAAATTTTATATAGCATTTTTGCAATATTGAGAATTTTAGTGTGAACACTTAATAAATTTCATAAACGCTTTGAATAGTTAATTAAATTTTGTTACTTTTAAAATTTTTAAAAGTAGAAACATTCTACTGCAAACATTAAACCAAAAATATTTGATTGAATTGCAAAAGTTAAAATAAAAATTAAATTATAAAAAGTTTAAATTAAAATTTATAAAGTATTTATAAAATTTATAAAGTATTTATAAAATTCTTTTCAAAAAAATTTTTTTTTAATATAATTATATAATTCGATTTTATTTTATATACTTAATATAATTCGATTTATTAAACCAAATGTTTTTGTTTCACTTTTTATTGGAAAACAATTTGAATAAAAAAATTGAATGAAAATATTAATTAAAAACCATTTGAATAAAATACTTAAGATATAGTTAAATTTTTTGAATGAAATACTTAAGATATAGTTAAATTAGATATAGTTAAATTTTTAATAGTATGGGCGATTCCATGTGAAAACATCCAGGACATGCAATCCTAAGACTTAGATTTGGCTGATTTTTACACTAATCAAAGATTTTAATAAGTTATGAACATTTTTAATTTTTTTTTTATCTAATTTCAAACAGTTTCAAAGATATGACTCTTCAAACTTTGCCTTGAACCAACAAAAATCCGCCATTTTGAAATTCTGTGTGCAATGGAAAACTAAAAATATATACACATACATATTTTAAGGCAAAAAATCCTATAAAACAACTTAAAGTATTTAAAAATAAACATAACACCTGTCATTTTGACCATTAATGCAATTTTACTGGGGTGAGTTTAATTACAAAAATGCCTATGTAGCTCGATTTTTTTAAACTTTTTTTTTTTAGATATTGATGAATAGTTTAGTTAGAGTTATTAAAAAGAATTGGAGAGTGGCCTTTTCTTAAACTGAAAAAAAAAAATGGTCAAATTTACTTAAATTTGTTACTAAAATAATAGGAATTATGAAAAATGAATTAAAAAGTATTTTAAAAATATTAAAAAAAAAATGAATTAAAAAGTATTTTAAAAAGTATTTAAAAATAAACATAACAGCTGTCATTTTGACCATTAATACAATTTTACTGGGGTGAGCTTAATTACAAAATTGCCTATGTAGCTCGATTTTTTTTTTAACTTTTTTTTTAGATATTGATGAATAGTTTAGTTAGAGTTATTAAAAAGAATTGGAGAGTGGCCTTTTCTTAAACAGAAAAAAAAATGGTCAAGTTTACTTAAATTTGTTACTAAAATAATAGGAATTATGAATAATAAATTAAAAAAAAGGGTGGTACTCTTAAGTGCATAATGCACAGCAGTTAATGTTTAATAATTTTTAAACCTTGTTCCACCCACCCTGAGCTTAATAAGACCCCCTCCCCCTGTTTGTTAAATTTTACTTGTTACGAACCAAGAAACTGAATCCCAAATCTGAAAAAAAAAATTTCAGTTATTTTTTTCTAATTTTTGAGATCCATTTATGTCTTAATAATTATAAAATATAAATTTACTCATAGGAAGATAGTAAAAGTTCCTACTCATCTGTTTGTTAAAGCTATCTCATCTCCTACTTTTCTTATCTCCCCCCATTTATTACACTTGGATAAAAATTCCCATCTATCCTATTATTTTTATCCTACATTGTGTTAAGCAATTGAGTGCAACTTGACAGTTATGAAACTTAAAAAGCTTTGACCATATCAAATTGTTCCTTTACTTGTTGCTGACTTATTAAATGTAGGATAAAAATAATAGGATAAATGGGAATTTTTATCCAAGTTTAATAAATTGGGGGAGATGAGAAAAGTAGGAGATGAAATAATTAATTGTTGCTGACTTATTAAATTATAAAGTTTTAATGAGTTGGAATAAAAAATGCAGATGTATTCTTTTTTTTATTAGTTAAAAATTTTTATTTTATTTTTATTTGTCTTGATAATTTAGTTAGAATTATATGAATTGGATTGTGGTTTTTCCTAAAACAGAAGTAAAAAATATTGTCAGATTTACATTATTAGTAGGTAGGTTTAATTATTAGTAGGTAGGTTTAATTAGGAAATTCAGAATCATAATCTGACTTTTTTATTTAATGTTTCTAAGAATTTTATTAAACTTTTATTACTAAACTAAACAAGTTTTACTTACTAAATTAATAGTTATGAATAATAAACAGTTGTTTTTTTATTGACCAGTGGCCAACATTTGGATGAGACAATTATTAGTAAAAAACACCAATATTTAATAAAGTTGTCACAATCAATTTCTGTATTTCATTATTTTATCACTTTCTAATTATATGTGCCGCAATGTGTTTTATATAATGGAGCATTTATTATTTAAATTAATTTAGGTTTTAATAGTTTATAAAATTAAGCCTAAAACCAGAATGTAATAATCATTAGAACATCATAACAGACATAAAAAATCTACCTTTGTTTTTTTACTTAAATACATTTTAAAGAAAATAGTTCTCACAGCAAAAAGCAAGAGACTTCCAGTTAGGCAACGCATTACAATAGTGGTAAGTGTTATTGGTAATTCAGAAGATGATGTTTCTAATAATATCTTTTTCAATTGTTTTAGAGTTGTGGAGGAAGTTGTAAATAAAGAAAAGAAATGATTATAAAACATACTGGTCAATTAATCAAACAAAATTTAGCCTTATAAACTTGTTAAACTCTTGCAATCAATAGAAAAATTAAGTTTTTGTTTGTGTGTAATAAATGAGGGAAGATAGTCAGGTTGGGGGAGGAAGAGGTGTTAATAAACAAGAGGGTAGGTTTATTTTAAAAGTGAGTTTATATTTTCTAATTTTTATGACCTAAATGTCTCAGAAATTAGAAAATAATTAATAAATTTTTTTTTTTTTTTTAGTTTTGAGATTTCTCTGTTAACAACAAGTAAAATCAGTTTCTATGTTAATAACAAGTAAAATCAGGGATGCGCATTCCCAAAAGGACTACAGCTTTATATCTCTATTTTTTCCTGGTCTCTGGTGTCCAAAAGCTCTAAATATGTTGGTTGAATTATGATCTGGGAAAAGAAAAAACAGAAGGTTTAATAGCTTGAAAGTTATTGTTTTTATGCCTGGAGTCTTTGCTAGCATTATACCTCAAATAATTACCTAAAGACTGCTTGTTAAAAAATAAAAAGTTTTTTTCCATTAGTAGTCTAATAAGCTTTTTTATATTTAAGAGATCTTGGATTCAAAAAAACAAACCAGAGTCTTTTTGGGAATATGCATCCTTGAATAAATTTAATAAACAAAGGAAGGGGTCTTATTAAGCTCAGAGTAAATAAGAAAAATTTTTAAACAGTATTAATTATCAACTGCTATGTATTATGCACTTAAGAGTACCACCTTTTTTTTCCTTTTAATTTAACAAATTGGAAGGAAAAAACTTAAATTTCAAAGTAACAATTTCAAGTAAATTTGACCATTTTTTATTCTGTTTAAGGAAAGACCACTCTCCAATTTTTTGTAATAACTCTAACTAAACTATTTAAAACAACATCTAAAAAAAATTTAAAAAAAATCGAACAACATCAGCATTTATGTAATTAAACTCACCCCAGTAAAATTGCAATAATGGTCAAAATTACAGGTGTTATGTTTATTTTTATATACTTTAAGTTGTTTTATAGGATTCTTTTTCTTTAAATATGTAAGTATACAAATTCTCAACTTATCATTGCACATAGAACAGAAATAATGACCAAAACTATTTTTCAAAATGGCAGCTTTTTGTTGTTTCAAGGCAAAGTTTGAAGAATCTTTGTTTGGAGTTGGATGATAAAATTTTTGGAAATGTTCAAAAAAATTAAAAATGTTCATAACTTATTAAAATCTTTGATTTATGTAAAAATCAGCAAAATCTTATAAAATGCAACTTAAGGTTGCATTTTATAAAAAAATTGGATGCTTTCACATGGAATTGCTCAGTACGCTAAATCAAGAAACAAATTATAAAAAAACGCATTGTATAATGTTTTTTTGCTTTGATTTTACTCATTTGGTCTATAGACTATAGACTGGTATGGTCTATAGGCATATTTTTATGCAAATATAAAGTTTTATGACGATAATGTTTTAATGTAATAATTAGAAGAATTTTACTTATTTGTTTCGTTTTATTTTAAACGCGTTTTATGTTAGTAAGGTTAAAAACTGCACAAAATAGTGTCACAAAGTTGTTTTACATTAACACAAGCTCTTTATATTTTTAAAACATTTTTACATTTGTTTTATTGTTGTTTTATAGCTTTTCACAATAACAAACAATTACTCTTTAAAATAACAGGTGTTTTTTCATTCGGCATGAACGTATTAAGTAGTATTCTATGACTAATTAAAATGGTTTAAAAAATGTAATGTTTGTTTTTTACTCTTACCTTTTTACTTTTACTTTTTTAAATATTATGTTAGTAAAAACAATTACTAAAAGAAATATCTTAATAGTATTAAATACCTTACTTGCTCATTACACTATAACTACAACTTAAACTTTAAATTATAACTTAAGCTGTAAATTATAACAGTAACTTACGCTATTTTAAACTCTGCCAAACGCAAAAATTATAAAATATTACTTAAATATGATTGATAATATGTTTAAAAATAACAATTACGTCCAAAAGATACAATTTTATACTAACGCACCCCCCTACCTTACCACAAAGATGCGCAAGGTATGAGAATGGGGGAAGGTCAATTTATCATCTGGTAATTTTTTCCAATAACATCTGGAAAAATTTTTTCCAGATGTAGTTACATCTGAAAAAATTCCTATAAGCAATAACATCTTTATTTGATTGCAGTTTAATAACTTAAAAGATGTAACTACATCTGTATAATCTACAGATGTATTTGCACAGATGTTATTACACTTTGTTGATTTAAAAGATATAACTACATCTGTAGAATTTCCAGATGTAGTTGCACAGATGTTGTTATACATAAATAACTTAAAAGATGTAACTAAATTTGTAATATTTATTTAATTTTTGCACAGATGTTGTTAGACATTAATAAAATTTCAGATGTTGTTGGACAGATGTTATTATACTTCATTATATTTACAGATTTTGTTGGACAGATGTTGTTACCCTGACCCATTTTTTTAACTTGCTAATTTTTGGAATGCAAATATCATCCCTGTCAAGAAAACCACCAATAATATGTAACAAAAAACAACAATAAACAGATTTAACCTTGTGTACATTCGCGAACTTTAAACTCAATAAATGGTCTTTCTGGATGGCAGCCAAATATATTTGCATAACCACGTTGAGCACATGTCATCCAGTCAGAACAAAAGCATTTAAAATTTGCACCAAACGCATCTGAACAATTACTGCAAGTATAACCATAATTTGTTTCTTGATAACCAGGAGGACATAAATTAGGAGCAGACAATTGTTGTTCAGAATTACACGAAGATTGTCTGAAACATTTTGAAAATTGTGTATTTATTGGATTTGTTGTAAATGAAAATAAATAAACTTTCCGTAACTCTAAAAAAAATTGTACTTTAAATGTATATATATATATATATATATATATATATATATATATATATATATATATATATATATATATATATATATATATATATATATATATATATACATCTCATATATATATATATATATATATATATATATATATATATATATATATATATATATATATTTTAAAAAAATTAATCACCAAAATCATTTCTATTTGCAAACATGTTCATTCATATGATTCTATAAAAAAACATAATTTATTCTAACAATTAATACATGGCACTGGATTCCAATGACTTGTAAATGTAGCAAGAGGTTTCTTTTTGTTTAATAAAACTTCATGAAGGTTTGAATAAGTGTTTTCTTTATAGGTTTGGTCGTCAAACCAAAAGTCTGCCCACTTGTAAGAAATAAAGGTACATACAGATTCAAGTTTGTTTCTTGTTTTTGGCACAAGAATGTAGGCTAACAACGCTAAAATAGCTCTTGAACTCCACCGAGCATTACTGATATTAGGGATTTTTTGAAATTTTACATTAGGAAATATTTTATTTTGGTCATAGTATCGGTAGGTTCTTGTCAGATGAAACAGAAACTTCATGTCATCTCGCCATCCTCCTGTGTTTTTTATTTCTTCTGTACCATTATAAAAATTTGTCTTCAGTGTTTCATAATGTTCTAACAACTTGTTAGTAAAAAAGTAATTAATGTTTGGTGAGTTCGGATTTTCTCCCAATTTTTCTTCCATTTCTAGTCTAAGTATTCTATCCAAGATATGATGTTGACATGGTACAAATTGAGGTTTTTGTAATCCTTTTTTTTGAAAAATGTCCTGAAGTTTTACAACAACACCATTTTTCTTTCCGGCATTGACATTTGTAGAATCTGTCACAATCATTTTAATTGAATTCCATAGTTTAAATTCATCTATAATATCAGCTATGGCATTAATAATAGTGATAGATTTTCCATCTATTAACTTCAGTGCGCCCAACTTTATTTCGCTTCTTTCAATTTTAAGAACGACAACCTGATACTCCCATTGGTCTATATGCTTTCCATCGAAGTGTAGACTCCAATTCTCATTCTTTAAATCTTGAATTAAAGTTTCTTTAAATTGTTTTGCTTCATTAAAAAGAGCCTTGTATATTCCAGACTGTGATGGCGCTGGAACATGTATGCCTTCTGAGGACAGTATTTTACCTATTTTAGAAGCTTTCTTAGTTGATACCTTAGCACAAACCACTAACTTTGTTGCTATTTTACAACTACTATATTTTTCATGTCTTTTCTTCAAATTATTATATTCTTCATCTGTAATTTCATTATCTATCTCAAATTGTTCATCAGTTTCTTCAAATTTGGAACTAGAGTTGTCTCTTTCTATTTTACTACTTTCAGTAAATGAAGAAAAACTTTTAGATGCTGAAGGTTGGCTGGAAAGTTTTTGCACAATTGATGGATGAATAGTCTTCTTTTCTGCCAGCTTTGAAGTAGCATATCCAATTTCTCCTTTGCTTTGTAACTGAATTTCATAAAAATCTTTTATCTTCAGATGATAACCAAATGCCATTTTGATTTGTTATATCAAAAATCTCTTTTTGCAGAAGGTCGGCATTCCCTTTTTTTCTGAGACTTTCATATTTTTCTATAAGATCATTAATCTTTCGCTTCACTGACTGCTCTGTCAGACATGGGAAATTTAATTGTTCTTTCCACAAAATTATAACTTCTTCTGAAATAAGATCTATCCTTTGCTTTTTGGTTTTCACATCAGTACTAGACAAATACTTAAACCTGCTAACAATATCACTTTTTAATGGCGTTTTGGAATATTCTTGAAAAGATGTTTCTAACATTGGAAACTGTCTACTTTTATGCGAATCTTGAAATTTCACAAGATTTTTTTATGTCTCTATTTTTTTCAACACTTGATTGGCAGTATTTGTATGCCATTTTAATTAAAAGCAGCACAAAAAAATCTGAAACTAATTAATAAACAATTAGGCACGGCAGTGAAAAACTAGAAATTATAAAGTGGTAATGCCTACGTCTGGTATGTATTTAAAATTATATATATAATATATATTGACCGTCTATATATATTTTATTATATATAATATAATAATATAATATAATAAAATATATACAGAGGGTTATGACTTCTTTAACTTATGTTTTCTGGCCCATATGTAATATGTATAGTATATTATATTCCTATCTATATTGTATTAAAAAACATTTCAGCCGAGGGGCGTGACATTTTTTTACACTTTAAGGAAAATAAACATTTCTTCATTGTTTTATAGCAAAAACTCATCCAAAAATAATATGGGGTTGTCGAAATTGTATAAAAAGTTAAAAAAGTCATATTCCTAAAATATATATATATATATATATATATATATATATATATATATATATATATATATATATATATATATATATATATATATATATATATATATATATATATATATATATATATATATATATATATATATATATACACAGAAAACCATTTGCCAGCAATAGTTGTTTTTTTTTATATTTATTTATTCAAGTATTGTAAGGTTTTCTAGAAAAATTTTTAAAACAATTGCTTCATTTGACTAAACTTTTTTAACTAATGATAGATTGTTTTTATTAATAGTTTTTTTTATGTTTCTTTTTTTCTAATTTAAAAAGTTTAAAACTAGCACTGAAATACTATATCCAATACATAAAAAAAAATTTGAAAAATCTGAAATAGTTCCAAGCAAGAATAATTATAAGAAAAGGCTTTTGTAATAAAACTTGAAAAATTGTTTTAGTATTCTGAAATTCAAATGTAAATGACAAATTTTTAAACTATTTATAAAAAGAGATTTTATTTAAGTTAACAAATAAGCATGTATATATTGTTTTCAGTTTGAGTTGTTTTTTACATATAAAGTTAAAAATGCAACTTTAAAAAAATTGTGTATTAAAATGCTCTTTCATTTTTTTTAGAATAAATAGTTTGAGCTAAATTTTATATTATTTTTTTAAAAGTTATTAATTGAAAGTATAAAACTTGAAATTTTATAAATAAAATTTTATAAAGCTTTTTCAAAAATATTAAAGTTCTATAGTTCTTTACTATTGCTTTTTTTTTTATTATTATATTTTTTTATTATTTATGTTATGTAAAACAAAGTTTTACATAAAATATATTTTTAAGTGTAAACCTTCATTAATAATAATAATAATAATAATAATAATAATAATAATAATAATAATAATAATAATAATAATAATAATAATAATAATAATAATAATAACAATAATAAACAAACAGGCTATTGACAATTTGAAATTTACTTAAAAATAATTTATTCATTGCAATGATTTTGCAAATGGTGGGAAAAATTAAGAGAAAATTAAAGTTAAGGTTAAATTAAAAAAATAAAAATACAGTTGGATGAGAAAATGTTCTTAGATACAACAATTTTTTTAAAATTGGGAATTTGTCATAATATTTTCAAATCCTCCTCCTCCCCCCGAAGTTAAAATGTATTCCACGAAAGTGTGGGGTCATTTTCTTATCTTCTTTCTTCTTCTACTTCATTTCAGCGCTGCAAACATTGATTAGGCAATGCAAAAAAAAAAAAAAAATTCTGTAACATTTATTAAAAATGAAATCTACACAAAATTTAATTGGTTTCACAATGACATGACAAATTAAACTCCACTTTTCAAAGATATATTAAGAATTATTATTATTATTATTTTCAGTTTTTATTTAATATATTTCAATAATATAGTTTACAATTTTATTTTTATAACTTGTTAGTGGTGATTATTGAATCTTTCGATCTCTAAAAGTTGCATTTATAAAATGTTTACTTATAGAAAGTGAGTGTCTTTCCTTGCAGAAGTTTACTATATCTTTTAATTGAATAAAATAAAGTTTGTCATTGTTAATAACGAAATATTTTAATCGGTAAGTATTTCTTTAAGAAAATCTATTTAATCAACTTTCAATTGTTTTTTTTTTGAGTACTGTGTGTTGCATTTCATTTGTTGTATTTTGAGTTTTTGTATATTTCAAGTATTGTGTGTTAGTAACTTCTCATGTTTTGAATATTGTGTGTTAATTATCTTCTATAGCATTTTTTTGAGAATTGCGTGTAATTTTAAACTATTTGTTAAACTTATATATTTTTATGTTATTTTAATCAGTGTATATCAATTAATTTTTTTTAGGAACTAAAATTTTTTATTTGATTTATTTTTAATCTTAACATATATTTATCTTTAATAATAATATATCTTTGCTGCTTTCATTTTAAGAGTAATTTTTTGAATATATATTTCTTCTTCACTGGCTCCAACAGTGAAAAATAAATATATATTCAAAGGATGTGCAATGGCATAGTTATATCAATAGCGGGGATTTTATTTCAAGTTTTACACAATAAATTTCTAATGTATTTATATTAATATAAGTTAAAATAACTGTTATAGGATGTAATCTTATCCTTATAAAATTCTTTATAATTTCACCATTCTTTATAATACATTATTTCTAGGGGTTTTATATACCCTTAATCAAGTAATATAAGAAACCATTTACAAACACACAAATAATAAAACATTAAAGTAATATGTTCTTGCGCCTTTAATAAGAAGTCTTATCACCACTACCACATTTAAATACACAAATTATCACCATTACCACAACTAGACAAAAAAGTTATTATGGTTTTTTATTAAGGTATTTAATCAAATTTATTGCTTTAAAAAAAAATCACTTGTAATATTTTAGGAAGTGTTAAAAAAAAAAAAATCTTTGCAAGTGAGTGCAAAAAGATGAGAGCTTTGGCTTAATGGAGAAGACTTTCTTGTCAAATAATGATGAAAACAACACTTCATCCAAATAAAATTAAAATATTAAAGACATTGAAAGAAATGTATATATATATATATATATATATATATATATATATATATATATATATATATATATATATATATATATATATATATATATATATATATATATCACAGTGAGCCATTATTCAGTCAGGTTTGAAATCTCACCACCTCAGACTTTTTTTTTTAAGTAACCTAAGTTTGTATAAGTGTTTTTCAAGTGCAAACCAAATATGAACTCGATCAGAAGAGTTAGTATTTTAAGTTTAAAAATAGTAAAAAGGACTAAATTTTAGCAATTAAAACGATGTTATCCACCATTTTCGGCTTCTTTTTTAAAAATAAATTTTAACTTATAAGAAATATAATTGGAGAAAAACCCTGAGAGCGGTAAAAATGGTGAATTTGAAGCAGTCTGTTTGTGCAGTTTGTTTGGAAAAAAAAGGCGAATATATAAAATCATTATCAAAAGTACAACCATCTATAGCAAATAAAATCAAAGAGTGGTTTGGCCAGAGTACAATGAAGATTTCATTGTTTGCCCTGACCTAATATCTTCAAATTGTAGAAGAAACATATTTTTGCTGGAATTTATCTGTCAAACTGGATGAATAAAGTATCTCAAGTACAGAGTTTATTAAATTCAAATGATTAATACATAAATTATTAAAAAATAATTTTTTTTATAAGTATATGTTTCTGAATTAGGATGACAGGCCAAGAATTAGACGCAGTACAGAACTTAATGATACTGTTCAACCATCTCATGGTAAAACACTAGCTGTAGAATCTCCTTTGGAGATTCTACAGCTAGTGTTTTACAGTAGTTGCTGCTTTTCTCTTCTTGCAAGACGTTTACAAATAAATATTAAATTATGCATACATAAATATTTAATTATAATTATGTAAATTGTAAACAATATGTAGAATTATACATAATTAGTTTTTTTTAATTATAATTTATATAACTTCAAAAAAAAAACCTTATTTTTAAGCTTAATAAGTTTATATAAATTTTATAGAAATTTTAAATTTAATTTTATTCTTCAGGAGGTCATAGCAATTGTAGTTCTGGTTAGGCTGTTTTAAACCTAATTAATTTGTCAGAAAACCTTGATTCCACATCATGTGAACAAGTTGCCTCAGTCATTATTAAAAACAAGATGAAGCAAGAAGGCATAGAGAAAGGCCAATCTTTTAAAATATCTACAGGTAGCTGAGTTTTTTTATTTTCATTATAAAATTGTTGATAAAAGATCTAAATAATCATATAACCTATATTATATATTATAAAACTTTAAGGCACACAAAAAAAGATATGAGGCATATAATTTAACAATTATTTTGATTACTAATTTTTTTGAAATATTTGTGTTTTAACTTTAATTATGGTAAAAAAAATATATTTGATTTAGTTATACTTTATTTTTAAGGTGGGAATTCATTAACTTTAACCATTGTAACTAAAGATAAATCTTACAGCAAGTCTTTCAATCAGATATCATTCCAAACAGTTATGGAGTTAACTACTATACTAGAATTAACAAAAAATCAAACAAAAAAAATGATATCAAGTCTGCGTAAGAATCTAGGGTTGTCTACTGTTGTTGAGAACAATGTAGTTAGCATGATGACATCATTGCAACAAGAAATTGAGTCTAAATATAAAATAGAGCAAGATGATTTTATTTGGAATGATGAAACTGTAACAAGAGATATAGTATTCCTTCATGACACTTCTGAATTTATTCTTAGTAGTTCTTAGTTTAATGGAAAGAAGTTTAGATCCTCTTTCCAGTATGGTACGTGTATCCATTAATGGAGGTCAAGGATTTCTTAAAGTAATTGTAAATGTCTTTGACAAGACCAATAAAAATGAAATACACATCATCCTGAAGTTGAAATTAATCACTTAGTTCCATCACCAGAATTACATCTTCTTATGGGGATTGTGACACTACTTAGTAGACAACTTTTAGATCATTGGCCTCTGTTTACGAATTGGCTTAAAGAGGATTATATTTTACTTCATGGTTATCATGGGATAGGCTTTGATGGTAATAATGCCAGAAAACTATTAGAAAAAGTAGATATTTTAGAAAGAGATATTTTAGCATCTCAAACTAATTTGATACCTATTGTTCATTGCCTCAGAAAGTTTTCGAAAGTTAAAGAGTACACATTTGGACAAGAATTAGGCAGTAATGTTTCTTCAGTTATTGAAGAGTTCAAAGTATCATTTTTTGACCTTCAGCAGTATGCAAAAATACATTTAAATGCAGAGCTGAATGTTACTTGGAAAGTGCATATAGAGGTTTGTCATATTCTCTCATTTGTCAAATTTAACTCTTTTTCTCTTGGGTCATATGCTGAACAGACTGGTGAGGCTGTTCACAGTGCCTTAAAAAAAAAAAATACAGTGCCTTCGTTTATATCGAGACCAAGTTGGTCTCGATATAAATGAACTTATATATTAATATATAAGTAGTTGTGTTTATATTTTTATTGCATTCATTGTTTTTTCCTTGTTATCTTTCGTTTGTATTATTACTATAAAGGACTCTAAATTTGAAATTATAGATTATATCATAATACTTTAAAGAGGATAATAAGAGATATTGATTTTTAAAATAATAATAGAAGGTGTTACTTTTATAGGGAGTTTATCACTTTAAGGGGGTAAATTAAAATTATTTTATCACTTTAAGGGGGTAAATAGAGTTAAAAAATTATTTTATTTTGGTACTTCTGATCTACTTTATCCAACACACAAAAAAAAGATAATTTAGTAGCATTTATCTTAAAATAAAAAAAAATTAGAGGTGGGGAGAAGTTCAACCTGGCGGTCTTTATGGCACACAGTGATATATATACAGTAGCGTAGCAAGGATTTTTGGTGTTTTGAGCCTGGGAACAAAAAAGTCTGAAACTTTTGCGCCCCCTGCCCTAAACATGAGAGCAAAAAGTTGATAAAATATTTTTCTTACTATTATTAACTAGACTTATGCTCATTGATAAATTTTAAGTTTCATTAAATAATCACCCAACATTCAAAAACTATGACCTTTGTATACTCCTCAATTTGAGGGGATCACAAAATTTATATAGTCATAATTTTTGAACGCTAAGAGATTATATGCTATGAAACTTAAAATTTATCCATGAATATAAGTCTAGTTAAGAATAGTAAAAAAAATATTTAATCAACTTGTTACTCTCACATTTAGGGCAGAGGACGTAAAAATTTCTGGCTTTTTTGTTCCCAGGCTCCAATCCTTGCAATAATTTGCAAACCATCCTTGACTTAAGTATAAACATACAAATGTTTGAAGATTGCTCTATGTCTGGAAGTTAGCTTTATATTTATATATATATATATATATATATATATATATATATATATATATATATATATATATATATATATATATATATATATATATATATATATATATATATATATATATATATACATATATATATATATATATATATATATATATATATATATATATATATATATATATAGATATATATATATATATATAAGACCATATTATATTATATATATAAATATATATATATATATAAGACCACTTGCAAAAAACTGAAAATTTAATGAAAAAATTATTACAGTACAAAAAATAATTGGAAACTACTTTTTGATTTATTTAATAGTAATTGGGAAATTGTGTTAACTATCTATGGTTGCCAAATAAAAACTTATACAAATTAAATTTTATTTTAGGCACCAAAGTATAGCATTTATACGTGGTGGTCTTAAACTTTTTTCCAAGACTGTATATATATATATATATATATATATATATATATATATATATATATATATATATATATATATATATATATATATATATATATATATATATATAGTATATATATATATATATATATATGTATATATATATATGTATATATATATATATATATATATATATATATATATATATATATATATATATATATATATATATATATATATATATATATATATATATATATATATATATATATATATATATACACACACACACACACATTATGAGGAAGGTTTTGTAAAACCTTTATGATGTATTACTTAAAGATTTATATTATTAAATTTTCATTTAAATTTAATATTTTTTAAAAAAAGTATAAAACCAAAAAAATACTAAAAAGTAAAAACTACCTTCATGTGGTATATCTCCTGTAATAAGCATTCTCATTGGTTGACTCAAACCTCCTGTCACATACTCAATATTGCTACCGCTTCTCTTATCAGCAACAAAAATTGCTTGCTTTTGCAAATCCGTCCAATAAATACGTTCATGATGCACAATTAAATCAAAAGGATCTAGCACTTCACCAAGATTATTTGCTAACCAAAATTGATTTTGAAAAAAAATTGTCTTTTGAATGACCTTTCTTCGTTGTGAGAAGTTTAAATCACTTGACTCAATAAGATTATTAGACTGATCACACCAGTACAAACGTTTTTCAACAATATCTACTGCTAATCCTGTTGGATACAAAAGATAATTGGATGGATTCACTAATGTTATAAGCTCTGTTCCATCAGAATTTATACGACCAATAAGATTTGATCCAAGATCAGAATAAAAAATATACCCATCATAGTAAACAATATCTTGTGGATTAATTATATTAGAAACAAGACTTTTGACATTTTTTCCTTTCAAGTCCGATACAACTAAATTTAGGTGTCTATCATCAGAATGGTCAAAGAAAAACATCAACTTACTTATATGATCAACAGCAAGACCAATTGAAGAATGATTAACATGATTAATTACAACCTCCAAGTCACTACCATTCATTCTCATTCGATATGTCTAAATTAATAAAAAATGTAATACATTAAATAAATTAAAAGGATGCACTAATAAAATTTGAAAAAGTAAAAGCAAAATATAAAAAGTTAAAAATTCACACTTTGTAAGATTTGGTGTCTGTCCAATACAAGTAATCTTGATCATAATTAATTGCTACTGGATATTGTCTTATTCCTTCCATACCTGGAATTACTAAGGGTTTTATTGTAAACCCATCTTGATCAACATACTTGACTAATTGATATATTGAGTTCATTCCCCTGTCAGTAAAAAAGATCTCAAAATGTTTCTGAGCGTTAACACAGGTATAATTATCTGATGACAAAATCAATCCAACTGGACACCCACAAGAAAAAGTAATTGTAGACAAAGTGAAGCACAAATGTGAACAGTTAGTACTTGATGAACATGGAGAATATACTAGTAAACGAAAAACTTTAAACAAAATAATGATTAAATGTAAAATTATAACAATTTTATAACTCTGACCCTTTCCCCAAAATTATGGAACAAATTTTATTTTCTGGTTTAAATATGATTTTATTTTAAATTTTTATAGCTGCATTACAATATACTTTAATTATTACAATTTTATAGCAGGCCACAGTGGAGTGTACATACATCAACTGAGGATTTTTGCGAAGAATTCTTTTAATGTAAAGAAAGATTTTTCTAGATTTGAAATAAAATAAAAGTGAAACAATCCTTTCCCCTCGGTAACAAATCATAATATAAATCCCTAATATTTCTCCCTCTTTATTGCATGATGTAGTTTATGGATGACCTCTAATATAAAAATTATTTCTGATATGTAATATGTTTCAAAGAAAATATAAAAATAACCTGCTGTTCTTTTTGCATAAACCTTCACCTGTCCAATATTACTACTGGAATAATTTTTTAAAGTGTCAGACAATTGAAAAATCTTTTGTGACGATCCATTAGAAGATATCAAATAAATTGAATCATCTGTCCAATCGGAAACATATATTTTGTTGTTAAAATATACTAAGCTGAAGGGGTGTGGAAAAGGTTTATATTTTAATTGTAATATTTTTTTTCTATTTCCACCATTTATATCAACAGCTGATAAGACATCAAGATATGCATCAACCCAATAAAGAACATTGGTATTGTAATCAATTGTAATATCATTAGGCCAAACAATATCATTCGACACTAATGTAACACGATTTGTTCCAGAACAGGTTGCTCTTTCAATTTTTGCTGTAACACCCCAATCAGTCCAAAATAAATACCTATGATTTAAGAATTTTAAACCACTTTTAAATTTAATATTATATACAAAAAAAATTATTACTTTTTATTTTATAATTTAACAATTAAGAGTTTATAATTGACTTATCAAATTAAACTTTTTTATATAAAAACTGACCCATATGCAGGATGAAGAACAATTGCTCTTGCTTCGGAATCTCTATTTAACTTGAACAAAACTTTGCGATATAGACCTTCAGTTGTTGATACCTCAATCAGTTTCATTAGATTATCAACCCAATAAAGCATGTGTGAAGGTGAATCTACAGCAAGACCAGTAATGTAACCAATTGCATAACTAAATAACTTTTTTTCAACATTTCCATTAATAGATAGTTTAAAAATTGCATTATTGAACAAATTTCCCCAATACAAATCTCCATTCTCAACATCAAGCTCTAAAGCACGTATTTGCACACCAGCTGAAACCGGAGTAACAAACTCTGCTATGTCTATAACTGATCCATTTTCTTTATCTATTGACATCCTCAAAATACATGAAGCAGTTGCGACATACAAGCATGGTTTATCAGGATTTTCACCAAACAAACCTAAAAACAATTTATAAAACTTTTATTAATAATTATTTGAAAAATAGGCAACTAGACTACCATCCATAATTATATAAATGATTATTATTTTCATTATAAGATATCAAGGTTTTACTTACTATTGGGAGAAAAACTGAAAACAAAATCTACCTGACTTCTATATTATCTCCATATATATTAAGTTAACATAAAAACTATTAAAAATTTCAATCAGACCAGTTTATAATTTATTTACCTGTTCAATAATGCTTGGTGACAATAACCACTTTACATATTCTTGGTATTCTATTTAATAACCTTAACTTTTCATTTTAAATTGTCCAAGTTAATTTTATGCCACACACTTATAAGCTATTTCCACATTTTTTGCATCATTGCTCTTAACTAGAGTTACTAAAATAAAATGTATTTTTTTCATCTGTACATTTTTTTTTTGTTGAAAAAAAACAGTTTTTTTTGTGTTTTTGATCTTTTTTTGAATTTTAGTTTTTTTTTTAATTAAAAAAACTGATTAAATGTTGTATTAAAATTTATCTATGTCAACAATTATAACAAAGTTTTAAATAATTGTTTAAAAAACAATTTAATTTATTTTTTAAACAATTATTTAAACATACAGAATGTTTAGTAATGTTGAACTCTGTTCAGTAACAATGTCCATATTAAATTCTTGTCTTTGACTTTGAGTTAGATTATTTTTCAACACATATTTGATTTTTGAGATCTAAATTATGGGAAATAAAAACTAATTTTAATACTCTGCCATTTAATAATCAAGGGTCAGATTTACCGCAGTGGGGCCCCTAAGCTATGACTGCTATTGTTTTTTATATTGATGACCATAAATATAAAAAACAAGTCAAATTTTTATCTTTACTTTTTGGGGTCCTTTTTTTTGTGAGGAACCTTGTGCCAACTTCCATACTTATTCATGGAAGTGATAAAATTTAACTAACAGTATTAGACGTCAACTGATAAATAAAACAAGATTGAAAATACCTATAACAAACTAACAAAGTTAAATCTTCAAAAACAACCTAATTCTGTTCATTAATTTTGTCAACAACTTTTTTGCAATTTTAACCTCCCTTTTCTCTTAGTCAAAAAATCGTTAATCTTCCAGAACTCCACTAAACCTCCCTCCTATAAAATTACGTCAAAAGTTGACTAATCTTCTTTTACTCCCCCCATCCTTTATCAAGAAAACTAAATGGAAGAAAACATCCCTTTTTCTTCTCTTTTTTAACAACTTAACCTATTTAAACAAGTAACATAATTGGCGTCAACCTTTCCTCTTTTTTTCAAATGATTTAATATATTTAAAAAAGTAGCATTGTTGGCGTCAACCCTTACTCTTGTCAACAATTTTCAAAAAATTTCAAATTCTTTCCCCCAATTTGTTAACATAATTAATCATATCTATGTTTATAATTTAATTTTTACAAAACATAATTTTGCTTATATTTTGAAGTGTTTTGTTAACATTTAGATGTTAATGGTTTTAGCTAATTTTAGGCAATAATCATTATATTAAAGGAAAAAACATGTATTTTTCAAGGTTTATTGAAGATGGATCTGTTTCAAGGTTCATTTTTATCTAAAACTTAAAGAATATTTAAAAAAAACAATAACAAAAAAACATGTTTTTGGGAGTACTCTGTGGTTTTTTTTTGCCAAAAAAAAAAAAAAAAAAAAAAAATGCGTTATTTATTTTACTCTCGAGCAGCGCACAGTGACACAGTGACAATCAAAAAAAGGCAAAATTTAAATAAAATTTGACATAAATCGTAAATAAATAATGTTATATATTAAAATAATAATTTTCAAGTCAAAGATTTCAAGTTTATTAATAAAATTTTTTTTTACGCACACCACGCGTAAAATGCGCGCTTATGCCTGTTAAAGATGTCACGCGTGATTAAGGACTATACGTTTTTTTTTTAGTTTTTCCTTGTTTAACCTTGATATTTTTGCCGTGTCCTTAGGGTAAAGACCCCTCAAAAAAAATCAAACAAAGTATTTTGTGTAATTCTGACACAAAATTTATCGTTGAACTCGATTTTTAAAACCATTTCTCAAAGTAAAATTTAGTCCTATAAATATAAGTCAATTTTTTCAATTGGGTAAATTTGATCTGCATAACAACAGGTTTTTAATCAGAATTGCATTTTGTTGTTATTTTGTTATTTAATCAACTTTTTTAACAATAGGTAAATCATGTAGAGTCAACTAAGTACTCAAAGTAAAAAATCCAGAAAATATCATGGAAGAATATTAAAACTAAAACTTTGCCAATGAAATGACCATATTTCTTGAACACCTCTTCAAATTTATCTATATCCAGGGTGACCACAGCTCCTCTAATATCCTCTTTTTACAAAAACCTCCTCTAAAATCCTCTATTGTCCTCTAAAAAGTTAAAAATATCATAAAATCTTCTCTTTAACTCCTCTTTTTTAATATTTTTTATTTCTTGATGGTAGTATAAAGTTCAAAACTAATAGTATGCAAAACTGCAAATGAGAATTGTGTTGTAAAAAATCAATTAGCAAATCCATGTCATCTAACAAAAAATGATATTGTTGATACCTGTCCAAACCTTAGTTATGTGGAAACATAGGTGTTAAACCTTGAAAAAAAAACCCACTAAAATCCTCTATTTTTGTGAGTTTTCTTCACAAAATGGAATTTTTACAGCAATATCAATGAACACAGATAAAATTCTTAGTTGCGTGCCAATGAGTCGGTCATGCAAAGCTTGTAGTCTAAAATTAATACTTAAAGAAAATAATCCTTGTGCATTTAAAGCTTGGAAGTCATCACATGTACAGAAATGTAGTCGGTAGTAGATTACAAACTTTAAAAAGTCCGTTAAAGGAATTGAAGTCACAGACAAATTAATGAACAATTTAACTGACCGCCTACAAATCTACTATGAAATTGCTGTTAGGCAAAATGTTAATGATTTAAAAGGTATAAAAAAGGCCTTCCTTGCAACATTGTTCCATGCTGCATTATCAGCTAAAAATAATTGGAATACTTATTGCCCTGATGGTATACATAGTTAGTGTCATTATAAACAGGACGAAGCTAATTCAATATCTAATTACAAGCCAGGTGCTGGTCTTTTAATCTCAGTCACTAGTCATCTAAAGCCTGTATAAATTGATTTATCTGAAGAAAACCTCTTTAAAAAATGTCTTAATAGTAAGACGCAAAACCAAAATGAGTTTTAATAGATTGATATGGCAGCACATACCTAAAACAAAATATGTATTGTTAACGCAGTCGTAGTTTTGTGTAAATGTGCTCTTTCAATTTTTAATATTGGAAGAAAAGCAAGTATACTTTTATTTGAAAAATTGAATATGATTTCTGGTATATGAGACTGGTCAAGACTGTTCAAACATGAACAAAAACCATTTAATTTTTTACAGAGTATCAAAATCAACCAACATCTAAAAAGTGACGACAAGTTGTCGTGGATGCAAAAAAAAAAAAAATATGACGCAATGAATGACCAAGAAGGTTGTCTATATGATCCTGGTTCTTATTCTTGTAAATAACAGATTTAAATTGAGTATTCAACATTTTTATTTGATAAAAGTGGTAATGTAATATTTAAATGTTTTTTTCTCAAATTGTCAATTTTTAACCTCCCGGCTATCCTATCTCATTAACCGTAGGTGAGATTTGTTTGAAATTTTCATCAAATGTTTAGTGCATCTAGTTGTACAATTGAAACTAAAAGTTTTACAATACTTTATAAGGAGTTTTTGATTTATAGAAGATTAAGTTCACAAAAATGCATTTTTTTTAATACGCTATTTTGAAAAAATACTTTGTTTTTTAGAACAATTTTAGTTCAGTTTGTAGATTACTATGTTGTGAATCATATGCCAAAAAATCATATCCTGTATGCTTTCGCTTACTAAGATAGAATGGCCGGGGTGGCTTAAACATTTTTGAATGTCTGCCCTTTTACTTGGTAACCATGGCAACTAATAAATTTATTTTGCATAATTTAAAATCCTGCTATAAAGTTGTTTCTCAGAGTTTATTTTGTTTTTTGTAAAAAAGATTTTTTTAATAAATTTTTTTTTGAGGGGTCTAATACCTTAAGTCTAGAATTTCTTATCTGTTTATTTAAATTCTTTAGTGCATCTTCCGAGTATACCTCGATTGGCAAAAGTAATTTATTTGATATAGAAGAACTATGCAGTAGCAGTTTATGTACAGTAGGAGATATAACATACCAGTTGTATAAACTCACTATACGTTAAGCTGTTTTAGTGCAGTATAAATCTAATTCATTGATACTAATAAGATATCCACAAGACATGGTTATGAGAATATTATGCAATCTTTTAATTATATCATAATCAACTTTAGTAATTTCGGAAAAAATTTCACTATTTTTAAATGCTCTTCTAGTAGTGTTGTCGTCATTCGTATTTCCAGACCCAGTTTTAGGCATATTAGCGTATAGGTATAGGCAACCGTTCTCTGAAGAGTACCTACATACTTACATACATACATACACATACATACATACATACATACATACATACATACATACATACATACATACATACATACATACATACATACATACATACATACATACATACATACATACATACATACATACATACATTTTAATTTTTCTGCATTGTATTATTGACCTTTTTCTTTAAAATAATAAATATATGAAAAAAATTAATTTAGTACAAGAAGTTTCAATATTCCCAAATTTCTTCACTTGAATCAAATTATTGCTTCATTTTTTGGGTGAGTCCAAAATAAAATGTCCTCCTTTGCCTCCATATTTTTTAGGGATGGGGAGAGGGGACCGGATTTTGACCGGATTAAGTGTGCTTTATAAAAACGTTTTAATAATTATTTAAATGACTTGTAACATTAATAAAATTGTCACTAATAAAATGGTCAGGTGTATTCCCCGACCAATTAAAAATAGCTAAAGTTACTCCTATATACAAAAACGGAAAAAAATTAAATATTAGTAATTATCGCCCTATCTCGGTTCATTTACCTTCCTCAAAAATTTTAGAGAGAATTATATATAATAGAACAAACAATTACCTTAATCTAAATAAACTTCTATATAAAAATCAATTCGGTTTTAAAAATAATTGTTTAACTAAACAAGCCATTACACAATTTATTCGTGAAATCTCCAATTCATTTGTTAGATCACAATATTCACTAGATATTTTCATTGACCTATCAAAACATTTGACAAGGTCGATCACAAAATTTTACTTAAAAAACTCAAATTTTACGGAACTAATGGCAAATTAATAAAATGTTATAAAAGTCGAAATGGTATAATGGAATATTATAAAATTGGAAAAGTTGAAATGGTATAAAAA